TCAAAGTAATTTTCTCTTTCTGTTTGATACTCCCTGTAAATGCTGCGCTGGCATTGTTAGTGGGGATTGTATTTCTGCAGGTTTTTGTGAACTTTTTTCAAACACTGCCTATTCCTAGTCGTAATCAACATTCCAAATTAAAGCTTTAAAATTGACAGTAAAAAACGCTAATGATCTGTAAAATGTTGAACAATTGCATTAGATTAAAACTTTATACCTTTTGTCCTTGCATTGATAGCAGTGGCGGACTATAACCATACATTTAATTTACATGTGTACTTCCATTTTATGTTTATCAATACATTTGACTTCTACACAAATACATTTAAGCTGCAAATCTTGCACTTTGTATACTACTTTTTACACGTATTTAAAGCTTTAGGTACTAGTTATCTTAGAGATTAATTAATGCAAACTATAAAATCAACTTATAAATTATGGTATATTAGTAAGTCACCATGGAAATATATAATTGGCCGAATCAATACAGCTATAATTATATCATCATCATACATGAACTTTTAAAATGTGCGATTCTTTATGTCTACTTTTTCTTTTGGTACTCTAAGTATAATCTGCTTCTAATATTTTACTTTTCCCTCTGTAAGATGGAGGACTTTTACTTATAAGAAAGTATTTTAATGCAGTGGTATTGTATACTTTTACTTTTTCCACAACTGGTTAAAAGACACTTAACTGTGTTCCATATTTTTGACGAGTCATTTCAAATTGATTTATTCACTGCATCAAATATTTTATAGGTTTCTTTTTAATATAAGTGAATCTGTCATAGTCTTAAATCTATATATCTGAAACCACTTATTTAATGGCTGAGCTCCATTGGCTAAGTTGAGTCGTCAGTGACTGCTGAGCCTGTGAAGTGTGTCTCTGATCACATGAATCCTGCATGCAGTGAGTCTTTGTTCGCAGTTTGGTGAACCATGTGATCTCTCTGATGGGATTGAAAATGGTCACAGCGGCGACTGAGGCATCTTTATTTTGCAGTCATATCTCTGCTCAAGTGGAACTTTGCAGACAAAAGCTCCTGCTGTGAAGCGTTCATCTAACTTTGTCATCCGCTTAACTGTCCTTAATGCTACTAAGACACAGACACACCCCTCTCCTGCTTTCTTTCTGAGCTGCAGGCGACTGTGCTGCCCATTTTTCCACATGTCGTAAAAAGACTAAAAAGCGCATTATCTATAAATGATTGATGCTTTTAGTTTTCCAGTTTTCCAATGGCAGCTCTTTTTTTAAAATATCAATCTCAGGTCTTCTGCTGCCTGCCTGCTCTGACACAGAGTGGGATGAAAGGAAACAGTTGAACAAAAACAACATTTTTTTTATTTATTTACTGTCAGCACACTTTGACAGCCGATGGCATGGCGTAAGGTCTTTTGTTGAACAAGGCTCAAAGTTTCCTGAATCATTTATATGCAAAGTAGCTGGCGACAGAATAATAAAGCTAATCTGGGGATTTCAAATAAACCTGGAGAGCTGTTTAATATTAGAATAGAGTACTGTCAGCAGCTCTAGTTTACCGAGTCATTGTGAAAGTGCTCGCTCCCTGCCTGCATCTATCCTGGGACATATTCAGAAAAGTCAGCAATACAACCAAGCAACAACATACACATCTTGTTTCTTGCCACCTGTCGAACGTGAGGCCAATATTCACACTTTTAGCTCTGTTTTTGGTCTACACCACCCTGATGGAAATATTTGTCCATGTAGATGCAACATTTGAAAGCTATATGCTACTCTACGCTAGTTGCTATCTGTGTCTTTGTGCTATTTGTTGCAGGTTGAGGTGGAGCTTTAAAAAAATATATTATTAGCTTATATTCAAAATATTAATTCTATTTTCTATTCATAATAATAATAATACATGATTGTATAGCGCTTTTCTAGACACTCAAAGACGCTTTGACAGAGAATAAAAAACAACAGCAAAACAAACAAAGAAAAATACAAAAAGAGATAAACAAAACAGAAAATAGGGGGGGGGAGGTCAGTGGTTGAATGCAGTGTTGAACAGGTGGGTTTTTGAGTGATGTTTTGAATGCGGTGAGGGAGGAAAAATCTCTGATGATGACTAGTTACAGTCTTTAAACTTATTGTGGTGGGCAAAGAGTTACATATTTGTTCTTAATTGTACATTAATTGAGTAGAAGGTTACAGGTACGCAGCGTCCACACGGCGGCGCGCGTTGAAGCTTGCCGGCGGGCGTGTCTGAAACTCGACCAACAACCAATCACATGAATCTCTCGCCCCGGACACACAAGCACGCGGTTTGATTGGCTAGAGCTTGTACTGGCATATGATTCGATTGGCTGACGCTTCCTCTGAAGCTTCAAAAGTTGAACATTGCTCAACTTTTGAAGCGAACAACGCGAGCAAAGCGAAGCAACGCTCCCACAATGCAGTTCGGCAAAGCGTGACGTCACCCCATTCAAAGTGAATGGGCAGAAGCGTTGAAGCTTCAACGCACGCCACCGTGTGGACGCTGCGTACCCTGTATCCTTCTACTCAACACTTCACAAACTTATAGGCTAATGTTAGCAAACGTTAACACATTTCTTTTTTTACTGAACCCTGGTCTCTGTTGTGTTTTGAGCATCTTCCAGTGTTTTTTTATTTGCTGCGTTTTCTATTTCTATGGTTTATCTTGTGCTTTTACTAAACACTGCACATGTGTTGTCAAGTTGATGAAGATGTTTCTTTGTTTGCATGTGTTTTGGCAAATTTGTGTTTTTATATTTGTTTATGAAGTGCCTGGTTAACAATGTTGGTTATTTTTAGGGAGGAGTTTAAGTGCAGTGGAGCAGCAGGGACAAAGCTATACAAATGGTCAGTTCTCTCTCTCTCTTTCAGACACACACAACACAAACACACACACACACCCTCAAAACTCATCTTTTCTATAAATCCAATTGAAAATAATGGACACATTTCAGAGTGCGTATTGATTTGCTCTCTTGCACAAAGCACTTACAACTTTCTTGTCCTTAGTGGCTGCATGTTGTGAAAAGACAGAACATCTTGGTTAGATTCTACTCACAGCCAAGTAGGTTTGTATTTGAGAGCAAAAGAGAAATAAAGTGTGTACGGACAACTTACCGTTACTCCACTGTTAGTGAAACCACTCTCCTCTAAAGCCTGCCTGCACAAAGACTTTCAGCGAGTCTCCTCTGGACAAAGGACATTTTCTTTTTAAAGTTTTAATTGCGGATGCTACAAAGTCACAGGCAGCAGAGGATGATAACGTAAGCAGGATGAAAAATGTTAATAAGTATTACAGTGCTGGTGCAGGCACAATTTGGCTGTGTAAATGAAGATAAGACAGAAAACAAAACAACAAATAACAAGCAAACCAAAACAATGTCGTACAGTAATATCAATGTCAGACCAAAACAGGCCATATTATAAGCTACACAAAGGAAATGATATAACAAAAGCCATAATATACGAAAAGCCCTTCAGAGCCTTAGCATTTCATTCCAAATAAACACCCACAATTACTTAAAAACATATCATTTGAAACGCTTTAAATAAACGATATCTTATTTAATAATGTATTTTTTGATTCAGTCTTGAATACTATAACCTTAGGCTATTGATTTCACATATTTCTCCCACATCAGAAATGAAGTCAGTCGACTTGGCACTGCGGTTAACAGATTGTGTCAATAAGGCTGTCAGATTGCTGCCAGTAGTTTTATTGAGATGGGTTAGAGAGGGAGCCGCACACAAGAGTCCTCAAGCCTATAAGTCATTATTTCAGCAAATTCATTATTCATAAATCAAAGCTTAAAAGTGGCTTTGGCTCCAACCAATTTAATGGCAGGGTCCAGTAGGTCTTAACTCTTTTAACACAGCACCAGCATTATCCATTGACAGTGCATTAACTGCTTTTCAATGTGGTCATTTTGACATTAAGTCCTCTCTACAGGCCAGTTTGACTCATGTTGAGGCTGGGATGTAGTGTTTAATCACAGCCAAAGTGTGATGAAGCAACAATTACATTTGGCTGGTAGCTTATTAAAATTAATATTAATGTAGTAAATTATTGGTTTGTGGTTTTCTGCTCAAGGCTCACATGAAAAAATACATAGGCTGGAATCTGCTAGCAATGTTTGACTCTCAGGACTTGTAACTTGAACAGATTGTTTTCAAAGTCGTTTAAAATATTTATGTTGACTGACAAGAAATTGGGTGAAAATTGACATATTTCTCCCCCTGCTGAATATGATTCTTGAATTTTCCCATTACTGTCACACTGACGCTGCTTTATTGTGCAGAAATACTGTAAATAAGCTCATATGTTGTCAATTAAACAAAGGGTGAAAAAGTAAGTCACATGGTTAGATACAAGAATCTTGTTCAGGCTACAAGACTAAACTTGTGTTTTATCCAAATAAATCACCGAGAATAACTTGGTGCCACCTCCTTACCGGTACTTTCCCAATTACGCCAGCTAACCACATTATTATGCCGAAATGAAAGCAAGAAAGTCACATTTATCGGGAACCAACCTATGAATCATCTGTGTGGTTTAACTTTAACGTCAGTATAACCACAAACCATTTAAAAACTGTCTGCTGTTTGCCCTTTTTGGTAAAATTGTCCCTTGGAATTAAGTTTGCCCAGGAACAGTCCTCTCTCTGATTCGAGCCTCGGGTCTGTCCTCGTGTCTAACAAGATGACGACTTTACTATCCATGATTCAACTATGAAAATATAGTCAACAGCCAATAAAGAGGTTTGTTTGCTAAACTTTGATATTTTAGGAGTTTTTTTTGGTCATGCGTATAATACAACTTAATTAGCCATTAATCAATTCCATTCCAGTCGCTGCATAATTCTGCTTCAGGTTTTGGCACTACCATGCTCCTGGAGTCTCTTGTGGATGGCAGCAGGGAGCAGTGCTGGAGATGCTGTAGCTCACACAGCCGCTAAAAGACAAACGGTCCTCCCACCTCCCCAAAGCGGAGCGCAGCCTAAGGAGCAGGAACTATTTTTTTTAATAAGCCGATGAATGGGAGTGTGCCCTCCGCTGGACCCTGACTCACTGTGGAAGCGGGGCGCCTTCACGAACAGAGGCTCAGTATTTTCTTTCAGAGAGACCCGGGGTGGAAAAGACGCAGCAATGACAGAGCAGCAGTCGTGCGCAGCGACAAAATAGACCAACTATTGTGGGGACGGGAGATTGATAACACAACTAGGCGAGCAACGAGCGCGGCAGATGTAATTTCCAAACGTTGCAGCTGGTTTGTTGCCAGTGGTGTGTTGGATGGGTTATTACTGCGTTCTCCTTTTCATCATCCACTGCTTCCAGCGTTTCCAGATTACTTGGGGATCTCGGACGGCTGCCTGTGAGGGAGTATCGCTGCAGAGACTAACGGGGAATGCCATGTGTCGTTGCGCGACATAGAAGCTCTTTGTGGGCTGTTTTTTGCACCGGGGACAGGTGGTGCCGTGTGTGTGTGTATGTGTTGAAACAAGCAGGGGGCACGGACACACAACCCCTGAGACAGTTGTCTTAGGGATGTCAGGCCGGCGAACGGGATCAGCTTTTGCCAGAGACAGGTGCGACAGGGAGGAGTAGTTTACAAAGCCCTGCACAGGATCTGGTAGCGCACTAACAAGCCCCCTCTCCCCTCTGATCACTCGGATTTTTTTTTGTACCCACCGGGACTCACAATCGACTCATACTGCCTTTTCTCGGTGGCACCTTTCCCCCTGAAACCTGAGGTAAGTGACCCGAGTTGTCCGGTGTGAGTCTGCTGGTGATGGTGCGCTCTGGGGGCACAGTCTCTGTCGCGCATGATGCTTTGGACACATTGTATTGCTTCTAATTAAACGGATTTACTTGTGGTAATGGTCTAAGAGCCTACACCAATACAGCTGATCTGCAATCTTTCGTATCTTGGCATTACAGTACTCAAGATATTTCATTGTATAATTCCTAATTTCATACTGCGTAGCTTCCAGCCACCCACAAAACAAGCATCTCTCCGCTGTCCGGAGCTTCACCATCTATTGATTGGATATCGGCACGTCTCCGATCTTGTGATTGAAAATGGCTGACAGTTATGAATGTGTATTGACGAGGATCATTTGTTACTGTACATTATGGTTACACCTTGTCATAATACCTCAGTGTCACTCTCACACCTTAATGAAACTGGTTTCCTTCAGGGAGCTGTTAATCTGAATAATGTGGGACTTTCCTTGTGTCAGGAGGGATTTTGTCTTTTTTTACATTAGCATTGATTTAAAGGGTAACTACTGTAGAAAACCACATTTTCCAATCCAGTCAGTTGAAGATCTGTGAAATCAGTAAATGCATGCATCTCCACCATGTGATTGGTCTAAATGTGCTCCTCTCTTTGTGTCCTACTCACAGTTGTTTCTGTGATCAGATGTTATCTGCTGGTGGTTGTGTTTGTTCTACTGTCCTACCCGCTGGGCCCTTGGTGTCCAAAGATCCTGCCTTCAGGCTCTGCCATCCCTCCCTCCCTCGCCCTCCCTCCCTCTGCAGTTGCTGCTATCTTTACCGTATTGAGCTAGTTGACTGGACAGTGTCAGAAAGAATCACGTTTTTGCTTTTTGTGCAAGGACCACTACCTCTCAATAGCTGGCTCCAAGTCTCCTAAAGTTTCTCCATTTGGGAGTTGCATGTTTTTGTTGTGGCCCCTGTTTCAAATTCAAATTTCCTTTCAGCTGCCTTTTGTCCGGCGGCAAGTTTTGTGGACTGGAAAGAGAGACAGAGGAGTAAGTGAAGTCCCCGGAGGGTCAGAGCATTCCTATAATGTGTGTGTGTGTGTGTGTGTGTGTGTGTGTGTGTGTGTGTGTGTGTGTGTGTGTGTGTGTGTGTGTGTGTGTGTGTGTGTGTGTGTGTGTGTGTGTGTGTGTGTGTGTGTGTGTGTGTGTGTGTGTGTGTGTGTGTGTGTGTGTGTGTGTGTGTGTGTGTGTGTGTGTGTGTGTGTGTGTGTGTGTGTGTGTGTGTGTGTGTGTGTGTGTGTGTGTGTGTGTGTGTGTGTGTGTGTGTGTGTGTGTGTGTGTGTGTGTGTGTGTGTGTGTGTGTGTGTGTGTGTGTGTGTGTGTGTGTGTGTGTGTGTGTGTGTGTGTGTGTGTGTGTGTGGAGAGAAGAGCAGAGCAGGAGAGAGACACATCTGAAGAAAGTGAGACAGTGCTCCTTGTCCACTGCAAAGGTAGACACCAGCAAGGGAATACCAGCACCTCCACTAACCTTTCTGTGGCTCTGACTGTGTCAATCAGACCTGGAGGACAAGAGCCTGGAGGAAGGGGTGCTGCCACAGTTTAAACAGAGATCTGTCCTCCTTGCATGCTCAGATTATACACCAGGGGGTGACGTTCTGCACCAGACTCTGTTTTAGACCTTCTTTTTTAGGAGAAACAAAAGCGCACACAAGGGAGATACTGTAGGTGGTGAAAGGGAAGAAGTTGAAATGACACATGAAAGGAGATAATATCATAAACTAGCTATTGTCTAATTAGTGTTGCAGTGTTGGAGCTTCTTTGGCACGACATGAGAAACACTAGCGAACTCTTCTCTCATGTGCTGACATCCTCTTGTAGGCCCATCACGTCACCAGTAATTACAAGAGAAGTGCTATCAGAGGGAATGAATTAATAGACAACAAAGGGAAATACCTTGTCTGATACGATCTCTGATCTTCTTATTGCACCGGATCTAGTCTTCTTTGTTCAAGGACAAAACACTTTGCAAGAGTTATGAATAGAATCATTTTGCCGGTGCTCCAAGTCATTTCTGAAGTTATTAAGGGAAAATCTGTCTTCAAAAACTTGTACACCCCCTCACCAAGTTCAGTAGGAGGTTTTAAACATGATTTGGGAACCAAAATGATCAAGAGTAAGACCTCAGAGTGAGTGCACTGACAGATTCTGCACATTTAAATGTACTGTGACCAGTACACAAATATTAGCACTCTACTGATGCCTTTAAGTTACTTTAGTTTTGAAAATATTGAAGAATTTTATGAGGATCTACTTCAAAAGAGTTGGATTTCTCTCTGCAGGCAGGGAAGGAGCGAAACATGTTTTCTCAGTCTTATATAAATAACCAGACTGAAGGAAGTTATTCCTGCCAAAACAAGTGACTCAGTAGGGGGTAAGATTGCACAGGCAGACATAAGGGAAGCAATCGAAGGAGCATTGTACCTGATGTTAAAACTGATGTCCTGAACACTAAAAGTGATTAGTGGAGAAAGCCCAACAGGATAAAAAAGCAATAGTTGCAAGTGAAAGCCTAATGCAGGAGCAGGATTGTGTGCCAATGGAGAACTCCGATAACAAGACTTAATGTGTGCCTAGGAAACCAGACAGAGGGTTTGGACCGTTCCAAGGTCCCAGTGCTGATGTCAGTTTCTGGCAATGTTTTCTTCGTCCCCAGTGCTTCTCCTCGCAGCAGCTTAACAAACTGCTCGCTGGAGCTTGGCTAATCCTTGGCTAGCTGTGCCCAGTGATTTATTATAAAGTTAGTTAATTTAGGGAGATCAGGCAACATCCCACCATACACACATGGCCTTGACAGATCCCCGCTGTCTGTACCGCGGAGTCTGAATCGCCAATTAGTTTGAAGAATGGTTTGTGTAAGTGTGGGAGTGTAGGTCATTAAGAAGAGAGAGATCGGCCTATGTCTATCAGAAGGACACATAAGCAGCTTTGTACATCACATTGTGTCTGTTTGCCTTCCTGTCTTTTATGTGTGTGTGTGTGTGTGTGTGTGTGTGTGTGTGTGTGTGTGTGTGTGTGTGTGTGTGTGTGTGTGTGTGTGTGTGTGTGTGTGTGTGTGTGTGGTGTGTGTGTGTGTGTGTGTGTGTGTGTGTGTGTGTGTGTGTGTGTGTGTGGTGTGTGTGTGTGTGTGTGTGTGTGTGTGTGTGTGTGTGTGTGTGTGTGTGTGTGTGTGTGTGTGTGTGTGTGTGTGTGTGTGTGTGTGTGTGTGTGCCCATCTGTGCCCTACACTTGTGTGATTCAGCAGTGTCCAGCCTGGGCTGAATGGCTGCCCTGTCTGTGCCTTGTTTCTGATGCCAACAGCCGCTCTGCACCCTTTGCCTCTGAGCAAGTGTTGCGCCCTATGTGCTCGAATAACAGGTGCTTCTACACAATGACTTAATCTCATTTTCCCACCTCCCCCGCTGCACCCTGCCAGGGGTTGCGTCACCTGTGGGCCTGGGGGCAGCTCTAGCATAGAAATAAAAAATGAGTATATAAGTACGACCAATCTTGTTTTCACATTTGTGTTCGGAGCACATATGCCCCGTCAAATTGTGCTTTAGTTCTAAGTTCACAGAATCTGTTGCCAGAACATTTCTAGAAAGCTGGATTCAACATTAAAGCTAAACTGAAGTGGGTGAGAGTGGGAATGCTTCTCTAACTATCTTATGATTTAACTTCTGGCCCGCTACCCTGTACCTACACTTAAATGGGCACCCCACTGTTTTTGCACATAGTCATTGTATTCATCATGGAGAGTATTACTCATCCTGTGAAAAGCATTGTATAATGTATTTTGTTAGTGTGCAGGGAGCAGTTCAAAATGTGTAAAAACAACCCTGATGATGTCCTCTGGGTTATTTCTGATGTAACAGAAAGCCTTCATTACAAACTGAAGGTATGGAGTTAGAATGAAGTGGGCATTTATGAAGGCAAGGGCTGTCTAATGAAAGACAAAAGTGAGTTGCATTATGGGAAATGGCAGATTTAGTGATTTTGATGAATTATCCCAGACTAGGTATTGAAAGTCTGGATATCATGGCCTCTGCTGCTTTGATTTGATAATTCTCATCTCTTATAGTCCAATATCTTTGTCAATATGCATTACACAACTGCTGTAGTAGCCCTTTAAATCCACTTTGCAGTTAATATTATGCACTGCTTTACATTAGACTTAAGTGAAAGGCTGAGTTAACCCATATTACAAAAAGCTCCAGCATAGTTTCTCTCTGTTTCTCATCTTTGAATTGCTTAAATGTTGATTATGCAGATTATTTTGGTTTTAGAAACCTGTTTTGAAAATGGACGTTGGAAATGGAAAATGTATTTTGTGGTATCCATAGAAACAATAATCCTAATATTGAATCAATATCGTAAACAAGTTTAATCAGAACTATTTTTTAGAACGTGTTTCAAATGAACACAGCGCATACCTCTAGAGGTGAATGAGAAATTGAGATTGCTTTCAATTTACGTGAACAGACCCTTCAACGTCCCTTTGGCTGAAATTCGCATTGGAGCAATTGAGTCACAAGGGCGAACATTTGAATCTAATTACATTTCAATATTGCACGCATGAACACCTGTGTTTCCGTTCGTATTTCTCTGGGTTTTTGCCAAACCAAGGCAGATGTATTAGAATAGTCCTATGTGGGACCTGAGCTCAAATCTATTGAGCTGCCAGGTCTGGGGGCTCGAGTTGACCTGACACCCGGCCTCTTTTTCTTTTTCTCACATTCTTTCTTTAACATTCCCCCCTGCTTATTTCCCTTCACACATTCAGCCTCCTTACCGCTGTTCTCCTCATTACCTCTCTTCTCCTGCCTCCCCCCCATGTCCTTCACTTTCCTCTCTTCCGCCTCCCCCCCCCCTCGCTCTATCCTTCTCCTCTGGACCTTGATGTCAAGGCCTCTCAGGCAGTGTGGTCTCTGTCTGCAGGCTGTCAGGGCAGGGACCCTGCCCACTGGGACCCTGAATGGGACAAATTGACC